TTTTGTCCAGGCTAGTCTAGATCAAAATTTCACTTAAAAGGGGAAAGGTCTATTAGAGATGGGTCATTTCTCGACCTCGAGAGAAAAAGTTTAGAACTGATAGAGATATATATCCAGAATAAATATAATGACTAACTGCATGTATGTCCATTTCGTAACTTTCCAGGTTTTCAATATCTCTGGGTTACTTTGGACTGGCATTGAATATCTCAAGTCTTGCTGGAAATAAATACTTAAACTTCTTCATCAGTGGAGTATTGGAGATTATCATCATTGCTTTAACAATATTTGTCTCAAACAGGTGCGTGGTAGCGGTATATTGAAGAACATGCGCCGTCGAGCATTTCCTTACAGGAACCTCCCTAATACGAACGTTACACCCATACGAACACCTCTCTCTGATATGGGCACATCTCTATTACGAGGAGTTTCCAATATTTCCGAATTCTCTTATTTACAAAGGTGTACAGACAATACTAGACGGCAAAATTATGGGCAAAGATTCTATGGAAATTTTCCCCTGTGAAGTTAATTCGTGCACTAAAGATACAAATGAGTGTTTGTTAAAAAGGGAAAAGAACGATCTTTAAAAAAAGATCGTTATTTTAAGTTATTTTATAAGGATTAATATTTTTGAGTAAATACCAACCTAAAATGATTGTGTTTTGTGATTGGCTTCATAAAACAATAGTGATCAAGATTCATGACTTGTTCTTTGGAAAGATGATTTATATATGACTAACCAATCACAAAGACCGTTCATATTAATAAAAAAGTGCCCCCAATAAAAGATGGTATATCTTGTTCTTTGTCACCATACGTCAAGAAAGTCTTAACAAAAGTTCTGTTTTTGAACTTACATGTTTACTGTTTAGTTTTGTGTATGTGTGAATAAAAATTGTGATTTCTAGTCAATGATTAGAAAAATATATATGTTTAGAGAGTTTTTACTCAAAATTCAAGATGGCGGACTTGAATCAAAATCTTCCAGAATTATCAAGTTCTTCGCGCTACAATGTTCTGATATTCCTAACTTAGTCATACAAGTGGAAATTGTGGAATGGCATAAAAGTTTGATTTTGTCCTCTGACGTGCGAATCTGTCTAAACGTTCTATCACATACACGTGCCAAAACGTACAAAAATTTGCTGCATCGCATCAGTCAGTTCCTCCCGATTCATTCAAAACTTTGTGCAGTTTATTTCTGGATATGACTAATGCCAAGTAAAATCTCATGAGAAATTATTCAACGATATTAGTAAGTTTCTGATTCAAATCCGCCATCTTGAATTTTGAGTATAAAACGTAACGCTCTAAACGTATGTATTTTTCTAAAAAGCAGGATATACCATCTTTTATGGGTGTCCACTTTTTATGTCTACGCCCTGTATATTTTTAAAAAACGTATAAAGATGTATTTCATTTTTTGATTCCAGTGTTTGATGTGGCCTGTATGACTGAAGGATTGAAAATAATAGTTTAATATTTTTAATAATCTAGGTTTGGACGACGCAAGTCATTGTCTGTTTACTTTATTGTCGGTGGAATAGCTCTTATTACTGCAGGAGGATTGTCAAAGTCGAACAGTAAGATATTCTGATGTTTTCCTGACTTATTCACATATTACTTTTTATTTCTTCTATAAGCAAGATCTAGGTCGGCAGCTAGGATTCTTCTCCTCAATCTCTTTCTGTCATTCTCGATATTCAGATATTCTTTTAACCAGGCTCTTATCCGAAGTTGGCTGCTAAAATTCTTCACTTCAATTTCTTTCTCTTCTTCAATTTCTTGATATTCAGATCTTCCTTTACCCAGCTTTAGTCCCAGACTGACCCAAGGCTGGCTGTTGCGATTCTTCTTATCTCCTTCTGCCCTTGTAATGCCCACCATCAGGTCCTTCATATTTATAGATTTTCTTTTGCAGAGTCCATCCATTTTCGTCCAACCCTAATCCTCACCTCCGATTTCTTCATTTCATGCCTCAGATAGACTGGCCCTTTTTCGTCTCTTCTTATTACATTTTCATACCCCAATCTTGTTTCCCTCGCCTTCTCTGCCACTCCACATTTTATTAAATTTTTTATTGCCCTAACCAAAAAAAAACACTTAAAACTGTTCTTGACAAAGACGAATGTAATAGCACAAAAAAACTAAAATGAGAGAGAGAGAGAAAGGAGTACAGTCATTTGCAAATCCAGATGAAACTAAAACTTGCACCCCCTGTTTTTATCAGTGTAACATTCATAATATCAACATCTGTCTTGTTACAGAAAGTGTCCAGACCCTTGTAATGATTTTTGCGATAGCAGGAAGAATGTCCCTGACTGGAAATTTTTCGAATTGTTTTATGTATACTTCTGAACTTTATCCTACTACGATACGGTATGTATTAAATATCGTCTCATTATCATTCTCAACTTTTTAGATAGCAAGATTGTATATATATATTCTATATAATTTTTACTGTAGGAACGTAGGTGTTGGAGCAGGGATGTTCTGGACAAGAATTGGTGGCATTATAGCACCACAGATTTTGTTACTGGTATGTAACTAAGCATGAATGCAATGGAGGTGAATAGTGCAAGGATATTGCACCATTCACTGACAACTGAGGTGAATAATTGTTTTAGCATATACCATATAAGAAAACAAAACAAAAATGACCGAAAAACAACGAAAGTATTTTTAAAACAATTTGTATCACAGCTCCCGTAAGACTTGTAAGCAAAACATTATTTACGAGCTTTTACTAATTGTATTCATTAGAAATAGTTTTAATAATAACTGTACACTGCAAGTTTTGTTACTGGTATGTAGAGGATGTCAAAAGCTTAGGAATGTTAAAGGTCCCATAGCTGCACAAAACTGATTAATCTATTCTATTCTTTAATTCATTCCAAATTAATAAAGGTAATCATGTGATGGCAAGTCAGCAAGAGCTCCTCCACCTTTGAGTTTATTATATAAATAAAATGTTGAACACATCTGAATCTATTTATACAATAAATTCGCGATGCACCTTGAACCTTAACCATAGTATAACCTCTAATCTAACCTCTAACCCTAATCTAATCTTACGCCCGTATTCTAAAAGCTTACTCACACTCACACTCACTGAGTGGAGGTTCAATCTGAGCTTCTCGCGAGTGTCAATGCTGTTTTTGAATAGCTGGAGGGTGAGCAGTCACATAGTAAGGTATGACACTAGCCCTCCAGCTATTCAAAAACAGCAATGACACTCGAGAGCTCAGATTGAATCCCCACTCATTAAGTGTGAGTAAGCATTTAGAATACGGGCGTTAATCTGACCCCAATCTAATCCTATAATCTAAACTTGACGACCTTTTTTTAATCTATCCCACCCCGGCGCAACCTCTCTCCCTTAAGATTGCATACCTCCCCGGGTCCAGCGAATTAACTCAATTTTCAATTCAGATTTAACGCAAATGTATTCAATTTTTCCTAGGCCTTGGGCATCATATAAGACAACCATATTTTAAGTTACAGCGGCAATTTAACAATATGTTTCCATAGGGTGAATATACAGCTGAAGCCGTACCTTTTATTATATTTGGTGGAATGCTTCTGCTGTCAGGTGCACTTGCCCTATTGCTACCAGAAACATTAAATGTGAAACTGCCTGAGACACTGCAGGATGTAAGAAAACTTGAAATGTCACCAGAAGGACAGGGAAAGAAGAGTCTTGTTGCTGAAAGAGAAAATATCGAACTGGTCTCGTGAAAGTAAAGATAGTTAGATTAATGTTAGCTTCGTGATTGCATAAACATACAATTAGTTACTACTTATTATAGCCTGCCTAGCAGGGTTTGGTAGAAAACGAGGGAGGGGATGCAAGGTCACAGGTGCAGAGTTGAGTAATATTTGAAATTAAATTAAAAAAAGAAAATATAAAAGGCAATTGAAAAACCGAAAATGAAAAAAAAACTGGGGAAAAATAGAAATTGAAAAAGAAAATGAAATTAAAAATAAAGTTTTTGAAATTGAATTTTGGGGGGGGCTGATATTCATATATTCGTGTTCACAGACTGTAAAAACAATCGCTTTCAAAGGAGATAAATGATGCAGAACATGAATATATGAATATCTCCCCCCCAATTATCGACTTTCCGGCGTCCCTGGCTGAATTTGAAGTTTTTTAAAACTTTTTTTTACTTTGATGTACCGTGAAATGCATACAGGTTATAACCCGCGAATAAATAATTAGAACTTGGGTCAGTATATATGACTTATATTATATATTATTATTATAGTATATGTACTATTCGCAACATGAGCGGCCGTGATGTATCGGACGCGAATGTTATGAATGGCTTGTGAAATGTCTTGATAAGTTTAGCAGGGTTTGGTAGAAAACGAGGGAGGAGATGCAGGGTTAAGGTGCAGAGTTGAGTAAAATTTGAAATGAAATTGAAAAAAGAAAAATATAAAAGGTAATTGAAAAACTGAAAATGAAAAAAACTGGGAAAAAAATAGAAATTGAAAAAGAAAATGAAATTAAAAATAAAGTTTTTGAAATTGAATTTTTTATAAAGCTGAAATTGCAAATTTGCTGAATTTGAAGTTTTTAAAACTTTTCTTTTACTTTGATGTACCATGAAATGCATACAGGTTATAACCCGTGAATAAATACTTAGAACTAGCCTTGGGTCATGACTTATATTATATATTATTATTATTATATGTACTATTCACAACATGAGCGGCCGTGATGTATCCGACGCGAATGTTATGAATGGCTCGTGAAACGTCCTGATAAGAACATTTACATTCTTCAACAATTAAAAAGAAATGAATGATATTTGGTGATAAAATTTAAATTAAAGTTTATGTAAATCCATATGATTTTGTATCAGCATAGTCTTAAAATCTTTGTTCCATCTTTTTGTTCGCGTTTATGCAGTTTTGTGCACGGTTGTTGTGCGGGGCCCAAATGTTGGGGGGGGGGGCTAAATTTTAATTGATATTATTTCAGTTACGCGTGTAGACAAAACAATTTGAGATATTTTATGACATTTTATTACCTTTAGAAACATTTTATTACCTTTATTACCATTTTCGCGGGCATGCTCCCGGACGCCCTTGAATGTCACCCACTTTCGGCAGGTGCTAAGTGTGCCCCCCCCAGTTTTAGAGCCGCTCCGACACTCCTGGCACGGTCAATGAACACATTATATTTCAGTATAATGAACGAATCATCCAAGTAGTCCAGTCATTCACTCATGCTATTTAAATATTAAACAAAGGATGCCTGCACGGCGTAAGGTACGACTCAACATAAAATCCCACCTCATTATAACCGTTTTGAAGTTTACCGAGTTTCCAGCCATGGTATATCAGCCATATATAAACTCTTTCACGGTTATAATTTCTCCTGTGTTTTCTTCATGAATTGTTAATGAGTTTCACAATACAATTTATTACTTATATCACCAACTTAGCCTAGACTATTTATCTTTACAACAATTGCGATATTACTTTTTTAACTATGTTTATCCTAACCAAACTGTGTGGAAGGAAACCGGGGCGCATGTGACTTTCGGCAGAGGGGGGTGAAAGGCGCTTGCTCCGAAGACAAAAATTTGCGATAATTGACTTCCAAAGTTTACGTTCTGCCGAGAACGACAGACTGGTTCATGTCGGAGTACATAACACCAACACTGACAAAAATCACGATTACTAGATTGCAATAATATCGTAGGAACTAGACTCAGTTCCGAAATATCACATACTCGAACCGACCTGACCGCGTGTATCTCAGTTGGCAGAACATTGGGCTAGTCTTCCAAAGGTTGTAGGTTCGATTCCCACCGTGGCCAGGCATATTTTTCAAGCCTGCCCAATATGGATACACACTCAGAGTAAAATCACAAGCATCTTATTCACCTGAGTACATTACCATCGAGTGTAAATATATATTTATAAAATAACATGTATATAACGCGTGCTCTGATTGGTCGAAACCCGTGTTTGGATCAGGCCATCCAAACACGGAAACCATAAAGTAATTGTATAATACATTTATTTGTATATGTATACACATTTCAGTAAATGTGTAGGCCCTATTACTGACGATTAGTAAGTAACACTACATTGGTATTGAGGCAGCCTGCGTAGCAGTCGCTTTATTTTATTGTAGGTTTTGAGGATTTTTGAATAAATGGCAGGTTAGACTACAATAAAATAAAGCGACTGCTACGCAGGCTAGTATTGAGGTTGAGTAGTGATCAATGTACCCAAAAGCTGAGGGAGGACTTTTACTAAATCTCCCGAGGCTTTCGGGTACATTTTTAATTACTAATAATACCTTAATATAGGAAATTAACGATGCACTTTATTAACGCGACATCAATTTTCGCGACATCAATTGAACGCGAATCCGATCTCCATGGTTGACAAATTAATTACATTAACGCGAATCGGAAAATATAGGCACAACAACAACAAAGGTTTAATGTTAAGAGGGGCACTGATGTTTTTAGTTTAAGTTAATATGCTGTATTTTGATATTAAAAGAGTGTTATATAAAACAAATCTAGGTATTTTTAACTAACGATAAATGAAAATTACATACTTAAAATTAACGATCACATAAATTTTTAACGAATTTTTAAAATCCGCGTTAATAAAGTGCATCGTTAATTTCCTATAATAAGGTATACATAAAAATTCAACCTCTGCCCTCTGGAGTACGAAAATGTTCTGGACAAGGATCCAGTCCCCTGAAAAGTTCTGTCTTTTGTAAATCCCCATGCATCACCTACAATCTTGGACATAACTGGTTGAGACTATTTTCCCCCCATAAAGAATTCGCGTATTTTTATGATAAACTCCATGTTGAATCATGTTGCCATTCTTAAACCCCCGCTCCCCCAACTCAATGTTGAGCTTGTATCATGGTATATTACCAAAAGTTCTTTTGGTGTTGTTCACAACATTGAACTGGGGGGAGGGGGGGGACAAAGTTTGTTTTGTCAATGTTCAATAACTTTGTAATATTAGCTGAAATGGTCTCGAGGGTTTTGTCCAAGATTGTCTGAAGCACACTTAATTTAAATGTGCATTATAACTCAATCTTTTTTAATTTTCTTCCACTCCAGTAGTCTGAAAGACGGATATACACGTTACTTCTTGTTTTTCGAGCAATATATATATTCGTTTGCATGAAAAGTGAGCAAAATAATGCCTATTCGAACTTGTCACATCCTAAAATATACGCATGAAACGCATGAATTTTTCTTGTTGTTTCATCTAAAATATATAGTTTTCTACTGCCAGAAGCGAGTAATATCATGTTACTAGGGCATAGAGGTCGAGACACATGCATTGGGATTTAATTCAATTATGTAAATATCACGTTCAAGTGTTGCTGTGTATTGGTATTTTCTATAAGATGACGTCATTTGTTCTATAGTTGATCAGCCTCAAACTTGCTTTTAAAACTTATAATTTAACCCGAAATTTTTTATATGACGGTTAACCAAGTATAATCTTTATTGTGGTTTGATAAAAGAACGGTAAACAGGCCATTAGAACGGTAAACGGCGACTCCAATTTAAAACAATGACTAGACCTATCATTTACTATAATATCTTGCTGCTATCCCCGTTTACCGTCAATATCACATCAAATCTTTTCGTTAGTCGTTTGAAATGTTCTTACATATTATTATAAAAGGTTTATGCTCCAAAAGTCATGGCGATATACTCGTATTTCTTTACTATGGCCAATTTGAACATTGTACAGGCGACTCTTTGTTCCTCGTGGGGGGTCGCCATACTATAATAACCGGTGAAAAGTGCCGATTGCCTATATGAAAATAGCTGTGTAGACAACGTTTAGCATGTCCATGATTCCATTTCTTTTTAAACTCTGTAGCTATGTTCTGTAGCAGTAGCTAATTGGTTCAAATGGACCAGGGAACGTTCGCACGTTAGAGTGAATAGGCGTTTTCTGAGCAAACCATGTTATCAAGTTTGACCAATTCGGTTACTTTTAGTGTTGGATATGTTTTTACATTCACTATACGAAGCTTTCAATGATGATATGGAATAAGGTAGAAATCAAGTTTACCAAAAATCCAATAAATAATTTACTTTCATCCAGACGTGTATTATGTCCTCCTAATTAATTTCCCTTTACTTACAATATAAATATAAATTTTGTATCGCCTGGAACGATTGCTAATATGGATAAAAATTTCGGTTACCTACAGTCCTTGCAGTGTAACATATATTTAATAATTTTTCCTCCATCGCAACACTAACTTATCTGCCTTTCTAACCATAACTCTCAAACAATTGGTATGCTTGTAAAATTCCAATATTCAGACAATCTTGGACATAACTGGTTGAGACTATTTTCCCCCCATAGAAAATTCGCGTATTTTTATGATAAACTCCATGTTGAATCATGTTGCCATTCTTAAACCCCCGCTCCCCCAACTCAATGTTGAGCTTGTATCATGGTATATTACCAAAAGTTGTTTCGGCGTTGTTCACAACATTGAACTGGGGGGGAGGGGGAGACAAAGTTTGTTTTGTCAATGTTCAATAACTTTGTAATATTAGCTGGAATGGTCTCCGGGGTTTTGTCCAAGATTGTAGCTCATTTTAGGCGGGATCCCGTCTTTGTTAATATTTCCTACTAAATTTCATGTTGCGTTTATATGAGAACCGAGCTGGCCCGCCTAACCGAGGTCCCGCTTCGTGTGACCCGAGACCTCGGGTAAACAGGCTGGGTAGTTTTCCATATAAACGCAACAGGAAGGGCTAGCCCTCCTAGTAGGGCTGGAAATTTAGCAAATACGCATGCGCAAATAATTAG